CTGTATTTCTTCGCTCAATCATCATTTGATCTGCCAGAGAGAGAGAGAGAGAGCGAGAGAGCAATCGCTGGATTTTTGCTGTTGCTTTGCTTTTTGCCCTGCAAATATTCAGCAGCCGGCAGATCAGACGATCGACAGACAAAAACCCATGTAAAATGCAACAACAGCTTTGCATAGTTTTGCGAAGGCGTCGGCGACGGCGAAGACGAAGGCGACGAAGACTGTGGGCGGCAGCGTAGGTAAAACCGAGAGAGCGCCCCATCGCGAGAGAGCGCGCCATCGCGAGAGAGCGACTCGTGCATAAGACCTGACGGGCAGAACGAGATAGCGAGATCGTAGGCTCTCGGGTTTTTCTGTAGAATATTTCGTTCGTGAGCCTGCATGTCCGTGCCGGCATTGCCCACCTCCCCCCTCTCTCTCTTCGCATCTTCTTTTTAATGTTTATTTGGTTTGCCGATTCTTATCAGCAGTGGAGATCTCTGGCACTTTTGACGAGAATATGCGGCACATGAAAATACTCGCATGATTAGTTTTGGATTTCCAGGGCAATAGGCTCTATAGGCAATGGTGATGGTCGAGACAGGATCTGAGGAGCCTGTGAGGCCCCTAATCGGCCCCAACCAATTGTTTTCCACATGATATTCGCAGAAGTCTCTTAAATGCATTATTTTTCAATGGTTTTTCCCTCTGGCCTTCGAATTGCATGTGCATTTGGTCGTATAAAAAATTCCCTTCAGGATAGAAAATGTGGCCAACAGGGTGTTCAAGTTTTTGGCCCAAAACTTTTTGGTTTGCACTTTGATTTTGTTCCGGACGCAGGAGGCGGTGGGCTTTGAGGGGCTGGTTAAAACGCAAAGTTTTGTTGTAGTTTCCATTTCGGTTGCCATTTTCCATTTTGCATATATTCTGTTTCTGTTTCTGGTTCTGGTTCTGCTTCTGTTGGTTGCTGTCAAAGTTGCACACATTTGTTGCACAGTTGCACAGTTGTGGGGAGAGGGGGGGCATTTGCATGTAACAACTGTTTACACATTGTTACTGTCCCTGTCCCCTGTCCCGTGTCCCGTGTCCCTGTCACTGTCAGTTAGTGTTAATTTTTGGTTTTTCGGATTTTCGGGCTGTGGCTTCGGGGTTTCTAATGTTTTTTTCCTTCTTTCCTTTCCTTTCCTTCTTTTTTTTGGGTGGAAAATTATACATATAGTTGAAAGCAATTACGTTTCAATGGACTGCAATTTATCTGCTGGCTTAAGTGTAGCTTTTTCGTAGCTAAATATTGTATTTAATTTTGTGAGATTTAATCAAACAAATCGTTTTCGTTTTCGTTTTCCTTGTTTCCCTGCACTGCGTATACGTAATATTTTCTTGGAATTTTTCCCACACTTAATCGTTTCCGTGGTATCCCCTGGAAGTACTTCTCATATTTCACTCGAAGCCAAATTAAACGTTCAGCAATTATGGGGTATATTGTACATATTTCCACCTCTGGGTCCCACCCCATTCTGGGCGGGGGTGGGGCAGAAAAGTTGCCCAATCAATTAGTCAAAAAGTTCACATATGGAATGTCTAACGAGCGTCGTCGGCTTTGACTTTTCGAAAAGTCAGAAGTCAGCCAGAAGACTGCCCTTCTCCTACCAAGGAGGGGGAAAGGTAGAAATGAGAGAGAGAGAGAAAGAGCGAGAGGAGTGAAGGGACAAATTACCTCGTGTCCTCCTGTCTCGTGGGGTCGATAGGTTTGACGGTTGTTCTAGTTACAGCTGTTTCTGTTATGCCCCCTCCCCTCTCTCTCTTTAGGCTTTACCCCCACCTCTCGTTCTGCCTCTTCCCCTTACCCTCTTTCTGCCGCATTCTGACAATTAATCACTTTGTCATAGTAGACACGGGCTCCACTGCACTGCACTCCACTCCACTCCTCTCCCCAGTCGCCCCCATGTGAGAGCCTTCAATCATTAATTTATCATGTGCACTTAGGGGGAAAATTGCGACAAGCTTTTCCATCCCTCTGCCCCCGTACTGTAACCCTCTCTCTTTCCCCCCTCTCTCTTTACCTTTTCTATATATAAATATACATATACATATGTACATCTGTGCTTGTGTCTGTGTCTGTGCCTGTGTCCGTGGCAGGTGCAGTGGGTCCTGTGTCCATTACGCTGTAGCCTGCTACCCAGCTATTGGTAGAGTAAAAAGAGTATGATTTATTTGTGAAAAGTCTACAAATTCCTAGCCGAATGTCCAAAAAGTACTACAAAAAATAAAACATACGAAAAAATGGAAATATATTTGTTTAATAATTCTGTAATTCCTATGAATTCAATAAATATATAAACAAAAAAGAAAATATGGCCAGAAATTGAAAAAAAAAAATATAAATAATTGGAATATTTATTTCTCTTTTGGGTTCATTTTTAGAGAGCTAGAGAGCCTTCGAGGGGTATTCCTATAGTCGTCATCCTGACTATAGAGCCACCTTTATTTTTTTTATTTTTTTTTTATCTTTTCCTAGGTTTTTCTTTCTGTTTTTGTTTTTTTTTGTTTGTTTGTTGAATGCCCGGCTGTTGCTGACACACGAGGCCGCCCCCGTGTGTGGCATGGGCGTGGCTGGTTGCAGTTTAATTACCACAGGACGGGCAGGACATGGTCCGTGGGAATGGGTGTGGCACAAACTACAAATTAATTGCGCCAACAATTTGCCGACAATGCCGCAACGTGCGATATTTACACGCAAAATTAAAAATTAATGCCATTTTCAAATAAAAAAAAAGCACAAAAAAAAAATCATTAATATATTATGTATATACATTTTTATATTTCCACGCCTTTGATTGTTCAGTTGATGAAATTTTAATTGTATTTGAGTGAATACTTTTTATTATAAAAAAAATCAAATATTTATGAATAAAAAAAAAAAATAATTTCTCATGCCACTCTTTTTTCTCTCTCTCTATTTCTTTTCAGGTAAGTTTTTCATGTTGCAAGCGGCAAAAAATCAATTAATTTAATTACAAATTGCACCAAAAAAAAAGAGGTACGAATGCGCTGGTATTAAAGGGGAATTTTCATTATGAAAAATCAGGGAAATGCCGTTGGAAAGCACAGAAAAAAAAAAAAAAGAATAAATTTGGAAGCACTCAAAAAGGGGTTAAAGTGTTTGTCTCTCCATTAAGCCTTTGGGGGGGACAGAGAGTGAGAGAGAGAGAGACGAAAAGGAGAACCGACCGCATTGTCAGAGTGCCCTTTCACCCTGGCTCCATGGTCCTCCCTGCGTTTCGCGCTCTCTCAAGTGTCGCAAAATGCAATTTCTTAAATTTCCATTAATTTCGCGCTGTCGACTTTTGTGAAATGTCACTTTGGCGGCGACACATTCAAAAAACGTTCAGGCGACAAGAAAATAAAGCGACTTGTCTCTGGGATATGTATGTCCTTCTTTTGCTCTCCTTCGGCTGCTGCTGCTGCTGCTGCTGCTGCCGCTGCTCCAACAGCAATAACAATGTTGTCAGCCAAGCAAATAATCACAGGTGTGTGGAGGGGTGGAGCTCCAGCAGAGGATGTGCCACAGAACGTGTACGAGAAGGAGAGGCAGTGCCAGTGCCAGTGGCAGTGGCAGTGGCAGCCCCCCCGCTGCCTAAGTGACTGATGTCTCTCCTGTGGTACGCTGCTCCTGTGGAGAGAGGTGGGGCCCCACACAGACAGACAGACAGACAGCAACAGCAGGCCCTTCAGCATCCACTAACAAGCGCATGGGTACGAGTTTTCTGTACCCTTCGAAGGGGCATGCCGAAAGGGAAACTCGGGATCAAACAGGCTCAATCGAGACCGAGCCCCAGCCCAAAACTTGGGACAAAACCGATCCAGCATATCCGATCAAACGCATGGGATCCAAACGGATCCAACAGGATGGCAGATAAGTATTTACTCTAGAGGAAGACACGGAAAATTCTAATTGAAATCGTACCCCAAAAACGATCTATTTTCCAAGATTGTACCCGCTATAACTCCATGTATCTTTACAGGGCAGCCCCAGGAACTATATATATCTCTAAAAGAACCCCATAAAACCTTGTATCTGCCTGTGGCAGTGTATCTAATGCCTCTACCTTTCGCATTGTTTTTGTTGAACTTTTTCTCTGGTATTCTATTTTCGTTGTTGTTGTTGTTGTTGTTGTTGTTCCGGGTGCTACTTTTAATGACATACGTGGACCACGCCCTACGCTTGTCGTGCAAGGTGGCAATACCATGGAGTGCCCCCCCCCCCCCCCCCATACTCTCCCCTCGCCGTCCCACAGCACCCCCGAACGGATCCTTGGATGCGATGCTACTACTATTTTAGTCGCCTTCAGTCAGTTGTCGGTGTCGTCGTTCTCGTTGTTGCCGCTCATTGTTTGTTGCACGATGGAACAAGCGACTTTACGCCCAGCAAAACGTGACATTTAATTCAAAATGATTTTGTCCCCTGGCAGGAGGGGCATTCCTCGGTCTCTGCCACTGTCTCCTTTTCTCCCATGTTTTGGCCCGGCTTTCCACCTCTCGCTCTCTGTTTTTCCTCTCACTTACATGATTTTTTTAGTGTTTCGCTTGTTAACAAAATGTGGCAACAGAAGGATGGGGCGGATACAAATTTAGATATGGAAAAGCTATAAGATATAAATTCTTTAAAGGAATACCATTTTATCGCATGGATTTAGAAAAGTTTTCCACGTATTTTTACTATCGATAACAGATATACCAGCGATTCAGTGTGTTTCGATGACCGATAACAATGTAATCAAACGATTTATGTTGTATTTCTAATCGATAAGAATAAATTTGATTTATTCAGTTTTTATGATCGATTATACAGTATTTTTACGGTTTATCGATAACAATGCTTCACTCGATAAAAATGAATTATAAACATGCATTCCTTATTCCTTTATTTTTGATTGATAACAATGTAAAACAAAGATTTATGTTGTTTTTCTTATCGATAACAATGAATTCATTTGATTTATTTATTTTCTATTTAGTCTTCATATTCCCTTGACTTATTCAGTTTTTCAATCATTCCTTAGATTTATTTATTTATTTTTTATCGATTAAAATGTGTTACTACGATTTATATAGTGTTGCTTATCGGTGGCAATATATCTAGGGAGTTACCACATTCCCGAGCCATCCATCACCTGGAATATCTTCAGGGTGGACCAGATATAGGCGGCCGTTCGTAGATCTTTGCGGATATTGAATTTAATGGCAGTCTTCTTGATGCCCAGAGCGGACATTTCCATGACGGTTTGAAGGGCAGCATCGATAATATCCTCCTCGCGGGCATCACGAAAGCGTTTCAGTCGCTCGCTGGGTTCAATGTGTGGCTGGATGGATAACATATCGTGACAGATCAAGGGAATATATCTGGATAATTCTGAGTACAAAAACTCACACATATGATGTCGCATTTACTGAGCGACTCGTTAATCGAATCGAACAGGGCATTGATGGTCTGAGAGATGCGTTTGGCACTCATCCGGCCGTAGGACACATGATTGATGTTCTTCAGATACTCGAAATAGGAGACCGTCACGCCGCCGGCATTGCAGAACATGTCGGGAAGGATGAGAACCCCACGATCGATGAGGATCTTCTCCGCGGCCGGGGTCGTCGGCCCATTGGCGCCCTCCAGTATGAACTTTGCCTTGATGTCCTTGGCATTCTCGCTGGTGATGACCTTTTGTGTGGCACACGGTATCAAAATCTCACAATCGGCGAGCAGAAGATCCTCCTCCGATTCCTCCGCCTCGGGGTAACCTTTAAGGCTACCTTTTTCGCCTTTATAGGCCAAAAGATCCTGGGGAATGGACAGATATCGTGGGAAAACTCCAGCTTTAAGGAACTTCAGCTTCAGAACTCACTTCAATGTCGATGCCCTCGGGGTTCGTGAGCGAGACATCCGACTCCTTGATGCCCACAATTTTCCCGCCCGCTTCGAAGGCGAATTTGGAGGCAAAGGAGCCCACGTTGCCGAATCCCTGGACGACAATCCGTTTGTCCTTCCAGCCTGTCTGCCAGCCCAATTGATTCATCCAGTCCTTGTCCTGCAGAAAGATGTCCGCAGATTTCCAGACGCCTCGTCCCGTGGCAGACTCCCGTCCGCGGACGCCGCCCGAGTTGAGCGGCTTCCCCGTGACAATGGCCTTGGCGCTGATGTCCTTGAAGCCGAAGGTCTTGCTGTACTGATCCTCCATCCAGGCCATCTCCCGGCCACTGGTGTTCACATCCGGGGCGGGGACATCCACGCCAGGACCGATCATATTGCGCTTGAGGAGCTCCATCGTGTAGCGGCGGGTGATGGTCTGCAGCTCGTCGAAGGAATATCGCTTGGGATCGATGCAAATGCCGCCCTTGGAGCCCCCAAAGGGGATGTTCACGCAGGCGCACTTGAAGGACATGATGGCGGCCAGGGCCTTCACTTCGCTGCCGGTCACGTCTGTGGCATAGCGAATGCCACCCTTGAGGGGCAGTCGATGCAGTGAATGATGGGCCCGATACCCTGTGATCACCTCGTACCTATCCTCCCGCTTGATGCTGAAGTTCACCTCCAGGGCGGTGTTCACACTCCCGATCCTCAGCAGGATCCCCTCCACTCGCTGCGACTTCTGTTCGGCCGTCATGTACGAGTACACGTCCATCTGGCGGATCAGTTCCTTCTCCAGCAGCTGGGCGGCCTTGTGGTAGTAGTACATGACCATCGACGAGAATTCGGGATCCTTTTCGGTCTCCACCTTCTGCAAATGCTCGGGGACCTTGTGCAGCCGTCGATGCCATGGCTGAACGCTGATCTTCGTGAAATCTCGAGGATATTTACGCAGCTTTCGAAGCATTTTTATGTCATTTATTTCGTGTTCTATTGAAGGAAGGATCAAAGCACAAGTGTTTCCATTACAAACTATCGATAGCTATGGGATTTAGGCATCAACTGAGCTTCAAACATATGCCATGGCATGTGAATCTCTCTGCTATCGATTTAGGGCAGTGTTTGTTCCGTTTTTGCTATCGACAAGTAAACATTTCAATAATTAATTGTTTTTGTGTATCGATAGCCAGGTATTCCAACGATTTTTATATGTTTTTATCGATAAAAATATACTAAAGCGGTATTTAAGTTTTTCTTTTCGATACAAATATCGATAAACAATAATTTCAATATTATTTTCGATAAAATGTTCGACAATCGAAGCGATCTAATCGATAGAAATGTCTGCCAAAGATTTAATTCATTTTGTAATAATCGATAACAAAAGGTTCCTTTGATTTATTTAGCTTTTATTTTCGATAGCCGCGATAACCTCTGATATCTGAAATGTAGGCATCAAAATGCTTTACAAATAATTTCGTATCCTAATCCTCGTCGTCCTCGTCCTCCTCGCCACCGCCACCGCCTTCGCCCTCGCCGCCCTCCTCCTCCTCGACCATCTCCTCCGAGGAGCTAATCTCGACAATGGGCTCGATCTCGGAGGCCAGATCCTCCTCGTAGTCACTTATGTCGCCCAGCTCTTCCAGACACTTGTCGTAGTTCTCATCGAAGCGGATGTTCTCGTTGAGCGAGGCCACGTCCACTTCCTGGTCGGCGGGCAGGAGGGCCGGTGCCGTGCCCGGCGGGCACTCGGTGATGTTGCGGATCTTCAGGCCGTGGATGTGAAAGATGGCCGACCGATTCGACTCCAGGAGTACCTGATGGAAGACACTCAGCAGGCGATCGATGTTGCCGAACATCCGCACCGAGGCGCTCTTGGGATCCTCGCCCTCCTCCAGTATGCGTCCGACAATGTGGTGCCGATAGGGATCCATCAGGTAGATGAAGTCCCCCTTCCTCCACAGCGAGTACATCTGATTGTTGATCTGAAAGATCACGTAGTCGTTCTCCTCCAGGGCCTTCTCCAGCATCAGATGGAAGTCGTTGAACTTGTACATCGGGACGCACTTCCACCAGCCCTCGAAAATGTTGGGCGAGAGCAGGATCTCGGCCACGAACTGGCCCATGCGGATCTGCCGCGGAAACGTGTCGAGGTCCATCGGTTGGTTGAGATCGTTGCACGGCTCCCAGCAGTTCTTGCACATGTTGACGCCATAGCACATGACCTTGTCGTAGGTTTTCTGGTCCCAGGTGGCAGGATGATCGATCTTCGAGGCGACAGCCGAGGCCACGGCCACCGGGAGGGCGCTGCGATTGCGCAGGGCATCCTTCGGATTGAGTGTCAGATGTAGATTCGATTTGACGTACGCATAATCGGAGGCAATCACATCAAATTCGCTCATTCGCACGCCATGCTCGCGATCGAAGGAGCGTGCCTCGATCCCGGGGCCCCCGGGAGTGACAAGGCGCACCACGATGATCTCCCGCAGCGTGAATCTCTCGGTTTTTTCGACATTGCTCTCCTTCTTGATCAGCCAGATGACATTATCGAGCGACTTGAAGGCCAGCAGCACGGGAAACCCGCTGTCCTGATTCGCCTTCAGGGTGTCCGTGTCGCGTCCGTTGAGATCGAGGACCATCCAAACGCCCTTCTCCTTCCAGATCAGCAGATACCAGTTGGCCGTCCAGAAGAGGCCGTACTTCACGTGCTTGAAGAAGGCGCGCATGATCCGGCGCAGATTCGTGATGATATTCGGATAGTCGGGCATCTCGATGGGCGGCTCCAGTTCCATGGCGAACTCGAATTCGTTGATCTTGAAGTGGCGCGTCACCCGCTGCTCGTTCTCGTCGTAGACCTCGGCATTTACCGAGTCGTTGGCCATCTCCATGCCCTCGGAATCGCTGAACAGCACCTGACCCTCGGCGACCACCTGGTCGATCATCGCCGGCAGCCATTCGTCCCGTCGCGTATAGTAGCTGTGGGCGAAGCCCTTGAGGTTGCCCGCGTAGCGTACACACTCCTGATTGGCGATGCCCGACTTGACCGGGTTGCTGCTGGCCACCACACCGATCGGATAGCCCAGGGATCTGTCGTAGTTGCCGCGACGACTCCGACCACACTCCTTGGTGTCCAACGGCGGGTAGAAGGGATCATCGTGGCCCCCAAAATACTTGCACATTTGCGTAGAGCAGGGACTGAATTCCGGCACATGACAGAATCGTTCACTGGGGGTGGGGGGGCGACAAAGAACTGATACAGATACACAGATAGGGGAGGGTACAGAGGGCACCCTGTACATACCGTGGAGGTTCTGGACAACAGGCCGGCGGTGGCTCGCAGCATGCACCACCCTTCACACGTTTGCTAGTGCTGGGGCTGGGATTCGTTGCCATTTTTTTCTACAAAAACTTAAATCCGAGACAAAAATCTATGTTTATTTTACAACAAATAATTTATCGAGTATTTGAATGCCAATCGTTTGGTTTGTTTCTCGGGGAGACTATGAAATGGAATGAAACGAAATGATTTTAAAGGGTATTATCAACGCTTAGACTTTTTGGCAGAAGGTTACTTGTTGGGGAGAAACGTAGGAATACTCGTGATAAGCTTTGATTGGAGAAACTTTTTTTATGTTTAGTTTGACTGGAATTTAAAGGGTATCCGATGTATCGATGTAGTCGAACTTCTGTACAACAAAGTTTGTTTTCTGTAAAACGGACAAATTTACTGCAAATCTGTGTTCTGTAGAAACGAATTTTCCATTCCCCACACCTCTACTCCTCCTCCTCTTCATGAGAGCAGATTGTTCCACCAAGCAGCCCTCAAAAGTGTATTTTCCTCTTCCATCGCACTCTTTCGTTTTGCTTTTTGCCGTTTAACTGAAAGTTAAGTAAAACTTTCTGAAAGTTCGATCGTAATTCTTGTGCGTCTCCTTTTCTTGCAATCTGTTTTGTCAATCGCCTGCACTTTTTTTAACAGTAACAGAACAAACTTCGTTCTTCTCTCTCTTGCTCATCAATGCGTCAAAGCGCTCTCAGTAGGGTCGAGCGTAAAAGCAGAACCGAAAGAGGGTAAGCCTGCCGAAGCCCGTGCTTTTGCTCAGGAGATAAGCTCTGCACAAAAGCCACGGAGCGCGGGGGGGGGGGGGGGGAGAGCCTTAGCCTAAGCTCATTTGCTTAGCTCGCTCGCTCTCTCTCTCTCTCTGCCGCTGTGAGACAGGCTCGTTCATGTACGGATTCAGCCGAAGACACGAATCAGGCAGAGATCTCGCAAGCGAATAAAGTAAATGTACTCGGGTTCAGTGAGAGATAAACGGATCGGGTGCTTGCTTTGCTTTGTTTTTGTTCTTTTGTTTTTGCTGTTTCCGCCCTCAAACTATTTTCCCATTTCATTTGGCTTTCATTTCATTAACTTATCTCCTCCAAGTTTAAGCAGCTTTTCATTAGCTTTTCCTTTGGCTTTTCCCATACGACACTCACCTGCTGACAGAAGTCGTTGCTTTCTCGACTGTTCACTGCTCGTTTATACCTGATTTTCATTACACAAATTGCCACATGGAGGGAGAGGCTCCGGAGAGGCTCGGGGGAAAACTTATGATAATTTTTATGGTGCCACACACCAAGGACTTGGAATCAGATGCGAGTGAAACTAGAGACCAGCAACCAGCGACCAAGGGACCAAAGAGTCGCAAGGTATTGTGATACCCTAGAATATGGAGGAAGAATCCTATACGCCATAAAGTATTCCTTGAGCTGTACTTTTCTTACGGTTTCTTCTAGAAAGGTCGTCATTCCAGGGTCCAGGATCCCAGGGTATCCAAAGCTTCGACTCCTCTCTAGAGCTGGCCTGCTTTCAGCTGTAGAGCCTTCTTCCCTTTGCCTCCTGTTGTATATTTGGCTTTTACGATGGCGGCAGTTAATTCCTTATCCGGCCACAGTGCCACAGAGACAGAGGCAGAGACAGAGAGAGAAAACAGTTAACAGGGCAACAGCTAAATGTAATTGGAAAGCTCATCAAGTGCTGTGGCTGCCACACAGAGCCATTGCTGCCACATTGCCATGGCTGCCATTGCTGCCACTGATGCCACTGTCGTTGCTGTTGTCGTTTTGTGGCTTGCCACTTGAGTGAGTCCCAGAAAAGTATGCAAAGAATTCTGTACGCTGCCTTTTGTTTCCTTATTTGTGTGTGTGTGTGTGTGTGTGTGCGGTTTATTGAAAAGGAGACGCACGTGGCAGCAGTGCTGTTCCTTTTCTCTATCCCAGAGTTGCTTAGCTATGCTTCCTTCTCCTCTTTTCTTGGACCTCTCTTCCCCCCCCTTTGTGATGGCATTTACGAGCCAGTCCTTTATTGTCCTTTTTTTTTCGACAGAAGCTTGAACTGGAGTCTTAGGGTGGGGAGGGGAGGGGTATCCATGTAATTGGCTTAGTCCAGAAGGGTGATGGCGGGGCGCACTGCATGTGGCATTAACAATTTTCGTCTGTTTTGTGTGTGCAACGTTTTTATTCCATGTCATCCAATCAGCAGAGGCATGCCCCACCCCTCCATGTGAGGAGATTGATTCCCCAAGCAGCCCTCAAAAGAGGATTTCCTTTTCCTTTGCCGTCTTGCTCTTCTCCTTTTTTCCTTTTTCCTGAGATTTCCTTCATGTCCTTACGGGGGGGTGGGTCCTTTTCTTTGGGGGAGTGCAATAAATTTCCACGTAAGTCCCCGTACATTTTGGAAACACTTCATTAAACAGGCGAAAACGGGAAAATCGCTTAACGATTATCGCCATGCCACACCCCAGCAGCCGGCCCCCGCATCCCCCAGCACACCCCAGCCCGCCCCAGCATCACCCACAGTCCACCAGAAAGCCTCCTCCTGCTGCTGCTTGGACTCTGATTTTTGGACATTTTCTTTAGTCATTTTCCATTCCCCAAATGTATTTCGAATTTTTGCCCCGGGGACTGTCGCCTGGTGTTTGTGCAACAAAAGTGCACAGAAGAGTCCCATGCCCAATCTTCCAAAAATGATGACCGCTGGAGCCAGTAGCTCTCCTGCCTGCTGGCAGTCCTTTCTCTCTCTCTCTCCCTCTCTCTCTCTCTCTCTCTTTCTCCGGTTCAGTGCTCAATAATGATTTCCATTGCGAATTATTTGCATTTCCCCAAACTCATTATTGTATGCATTGTCCACCCCGCCACCCCACCGCCCTGTCTTTCCCCTCCCTTTCCTCAAATTGTTTCCACCTGAATCTGTACTCTCTCGGACTTGGACTCGGATTCGGGGAGTCCTTTGTTAGCTTTTCGTGAATTCTTGACATTTTCAACGCTAATGGAAATGGAATTCGCAGGCATCAAAGAAAAGCAGAAATTCTTGAAAATTGAGTAACATTTAATAGCTACAGTTTTTCCTTCAAAGTTTCCATGAAATTTCCCTTGAAATTTCTATAAATATCCATAATTTTTCTATAAGAATAAAACATGCAGAAAATTGAGGGAAAGATCGTAGATCTGGACAGTAACAGGTGGAAAATTGTTTGAAAAATCATATTTCCGTACCCGGACCCCAAGCGGTGTCCACTGTCCGCTGTCTGCCTCTCCATCTCTGTCTGTGTTTCTCCCCTTTTCCCTGCCTGTCATCCCCCTCCTTCCGCTGTTCTGCTTGGTTCCGTTCCAGCCCCAATTCATTTCATTTCAATCCATTCCATTTCGTTTCGTTTCGTTTCGTTTCGTTTATTACATGTCAGACTTCAATGAATGTCAGTTTGACAGTTCATAAGACAAATACGACAAAAGGAGAACAGAGAACGGAGAACGGAAAGATGGGATAGTTTTGTGGGTGGCAAAGGAGGGGGAGGAGGGAGTGGTACAGGTGTGTGTTTGAGGGGGAGGAGGAGGAAGGGCGGGGGAAAGAACCATTACAGGTGGACAGGTGTGCACACACACACACACACAACCAGAGACCGTAGACCGTAGACCGTAGACCCAATGCGGGTGGATATTTCCATCTCTGTCTTTCTCGTGTCTCTGTGCAATTCTGGGAGTAACATTTTTGCGGACATTAATGTGTCAGCGTGCAACGTCTTGTGGCATATGAGAGACGTGCTCGGGCATATGGAGATATGGAGATGCGGGAAGATGCCAAAGAGGCAGGGAGGGGGGGGGAAGGGGTGTGGTGTGCTGCAGCTGTCGTCGGGACATGACAACTTATTGGCATTTGGCTGCCTGCCTGCCTGCCACCAGCCTTGAGTTCCCCCTCTGTCGCCGCCTCTGCTGCTGCGCGGCCTTAAACAATTTCTAGTCGCAAATTGAAAATCAGATAAGTGACACGAAAAGTGGGTGGGAGGTAGAGAGGGAGCGGCTATAACTTTAATCGCTTCATCCCTGCATCTATTGACAGCTCTCCTTCGTCCCCCCCCTCTCTTTTCCCACTTCTGGACAGATAGAGAACTTTTCAATGCATTGTCATAAATCATTTTGCGGCAGGAAACAAGTTTTGGACTCACTCTGGCCACGCCCACACGTAGAACAGTGCCTGCTGTCACATGCCACATGCCACATGCCATTGTGTGTGTGTGTGGCAAACACACAGAGAGACGCAGAGAGCGAAGAGGGGAAGAGAATGTCAAAGTTGAGGCAGGAATCGCCCCCATGCCCCATGCCCCCATTCTCCCATTCCCCTTTCTTGTCTTTTTTTTTTCTTTGTTCTGCCTTGAATTCCACTTGTGATTCAGCTTCGTCCACTTCTATTTCTGGCTACTGCGTTTTTTCCTACCTGAGAAAAGCCTTTGGTTTTCTTAGGGTTTTCCCCTCATTTTTTCGCCTGTTTTTCCATGGCTCTTTTCTTTGGGTTTTCCTCCTGGTTTTTGCCTGTCGCTTGACTGTGCATTCGGGACTTCAGAGTGGGGTCTCGAGTGGGGACAAAACGGCTTGCAGGAATGTCCACTTCCACACATCACGTATACGCCGCATTGTCCAGCACTACACATGCCTCTTGCTGCTCCTCCCCCTCCGACCCTGGTGCTGGCTTTACCTTAATATATCTGCTTATTTTTAGACTTGATTTTCCCTTGGATTTTCTCAACATTTTCCATAGTTTTCCGCCCCCCTTGTTAGGTTGGGGTGTAAAATTTCCAGCACTCAATGTGTTAACAGCTGCTGTTTCCATTCGATGAGATGATAAAAGAGTGTGGCATGTGTGGCATAAGGCATGTTGCAAATGGCTTTCCTCGTTCCTCGTTGTTTGGGGCAACATGAGATTTTGATGTTGCAGCAGTGACCCCAAGCACCCTGCCCCTGCCCCTGCCCCCCGCCCTCACATCGACAGCTGCTGTTCTGCTTTTCAATTTGTAACTTGAGCTAAAAACAAGACATTTTTGTCTAATAAAGGGGCCGAAAAGTCGAACTTTTCTTGGGGGTACAACCCAGGCCGAAAGCCAGGATACAAAATGGATCATTTTGGGGTAAGGGAGTTTCA